AATTAAAATGTTCTTTTTAGTTTGTCGTTTGTCCTTGACTTTATCTATCAATTTTGCTGTATAAAAATTTATATTATTATGCAATCAAATTTCCCATTATTTTTCACTTTGGCTTCTGGATTTTGTACCACTTGTCAAAGTTGTTTGTCATGCCAAATTATTATTATTTTTACAATCATAGTTTCTTCTGAAAATTTCATGGATTTTTCTGGTTTTAAGTATTTCAAACTTTGGCCCATTGGGACTTTTTTTGTTATTGTTTTTGAGGAATGAGGTATAGATATATCTTTTATTGCTTATCTGTTGTCATTGGAAAAACAAATGGTATCAATTTTTTAACATTTCATCTTTTCTCCCTGATTCAAAACACCACCTTATTTTCTAGGTAGTTAGATATATCTCTAGACCATTTATACTTTTCCATTAATTTATCTGCCTATTCTTTCTTTCTTTCAGATTTCTAATTATAATTTTTTAGAATATTTTAAGATCTAGTAAAATTAGATACCTTGTACTCATTACTTTTTTTCAAAGAAAAATGTCAGAAATTGTTTTTTTTCTGTGAAGGTACCAAGCTGATATTATAATCAAAACATCCAGTAATAATTTTAACTGAGCATGGAAATGACATGAAATATCCACTACTAATTGTTTTGCCAGGTTTTTGTTTGTTTTCAAGGAGGAAAAATGGGTAAAAAATGATTGGGTCTGAATTCCAGATGATCTGCCTACCATACATTTGGCCTTGGGTAAATTGCTTAGCTTCTCTGTTCCTTGGTTACCTCAGCTATAAGATGTCATTATAACTTAGCTTTTGTATAACCCTCTTGAAGAAAATTTACATGAATGCTTATAATAGGCACTTAATACATGTTCTTGGGTTCTTAAAACTTAAGCACATAATTTGTTAAAATGAATTAGTTGTATTGTTAGTAGTTACAATTGCTTGCTCAGTGTGGTTACGGTTAGAAATGAGAATGATTAAACACATTTCTGCAAATGATTTATGTCCTAAAGTTATGGAATTTTGTATGATTTATTTGAATGACATTGTAACTAGTCCTGTGACTAAGGAAGAGAATCATTATGTTTCCATTCACTAGATATACCTAATTATAACTATCTGAGTCAACAACAAGCTAAGCTTTTCTTCCTGGTGTTGGAATATTTCTGAAGGTCATAGATGCCTGTCAAATGGAGATTTGGAAACTCTTCTGCAAGTATTTGCTCCTAATTCTAGTATCTTAAAAGTGTTATATAAGCTTATGTCTTCTAAAACATACTGTGATATTTGGCATTCTACTTTCTGCACTACTCAGGGGAGAGAAACAATACACTTAATTTAGCTGGCTCAAGCTAAAATTCAAATTATATTAAAATGAATTCAATCTCTATAGGAAAAATAAATTTTCTTCAGCTTTATGGGTTCTCTGCAAGCACAACAGGAGAATCTACTTAGTTTAAACATCTTATTTGCTTGTGTCTAGTGTGTGCTTGTGTGTGTGTGTGTGTGTGTGTGTGTGTTTGAGAGAGAGAGGTGTACTTGCCCATAGAATAGGTGTGGCTGTGACTTTACAGCTTGGTTTCTAACCCAGGCTAGAGACTTGGGTTTGTTGTCTCCAGACAGCAGCCTACATGCCTATGAATTAATCTTATTCACCCAGAAAGTTAGCAGCTCTTAAAAGGAAGTGATCTATTAACCAATAAGATAAGAACTAATATGTTGAGTATTTCCTGTGTTCCAATACTGGACAAAGTGATCTACAGCATTATTTCATCTAATTTTTACAATACTCTTATGGGGTACAAGACCACTGAATAATATGTCCAGAGTCACTAATGTAGTTAGTGGGGAAACAGGTTTGTAACCCAGGAAATCTTATTAATTTGAATACGGAAAATTGGCGTAGTCATACTCCTCAGTCCTTTTTATTATTTTAAGATTGTTTAGTTCCATCAACCACTCTTATTCTCTTCTCATCCTATTCGTAATACATTAAAATTGTCTAACATTTCTTGTAGTCATAAAGGGACCCAGATAATAATGGACTGACATCTTAATAAACGATTGAAAAGTCACACTGTAAAAAAACTTTCTAATATATCAAATTTTACATATTTCAAATTAGACACTCTTTGGAAATAAGTTAGATGTATTTGAATTACTTTATACATACTGATATATTATACATTAATTCTAGACAATGGAAAAAATACCAATTATTCCACAGTAACTGTGCTTTAATCAGATTATATTATTTCTTTTCACAGAATACCACCAAATAAGCATGAAGCAAATAGTTTGGATGAAATTTAGGTGCAGATAAATATAAAAACATAGGAATGGGGTCAGACGCAGTGGCTCAGGCCTGTAATCCCAGCACTTTGGGAGGCCGAGGCAGTGAATCATGAGGTCAGGAGATCGAGACCATCCTGGTCAAAGCTAAACCCGGTCTCTACTGAAATACAGAAAATTAGCCAGGTGTGGTGGCGCACACCTGTAGTCCCAGCTACTCAGGAGGCTGAGGCAGGGGAATCACTTGAACCCGGGAGACAGAGGCTGCAGTGAGCTGAGATCGTGCCACTGCACTCCAGCCTGGTGACATAGAAAGACTCCGTCTCAAAAAAAAAAAAAAAAAAGGAATGTCCATAACTTTTAAACTTACATTGTACCCAATCTAGTTTAACTCTCTAAAAGGAAGAATAAAAGGTTCTGGTCTTAGAAATTTAACCAGCCTGACCAACACAGTGAAACCCTGTCTCTACTAAGAATACAAAATTAGCCAGGCGTGGTGGCGCGTGCCTGTAATCCCAGCTACTTGGGAGGCTGAGACTGGAGAATCGCTTGAACTCAAGAGGTGGAAGTTGCAGTGAGCCGAGATTTTGCCACTGCACTGCAGCCTGGGCAAGAAAAACAAAACTCCAAAAAGAAAGAAAGGAAGAAAGGAAGGGAAGGGGAGGGGAGGGCAAAGGGGAAGGGGGGAGGGGAGGGCAAAGGGGAAGAGAGGAGGGGAGGGCAAAGGGGAAGGGAGGAGGGGAGGGCAAAGGGGAAGGGAGGAGGGGAGGAGGAAGGACAGGGGGAAGAGGGTGAGAGGGGGAGAAGTTAGAAGGGGAGGGGGAAGAGAGAGAAAGAGAAGAAAGAAAGAGAAAGAAAGAAAAGATAAAGAAAGGAGAGAAAGAAAAGAGAAAGATGGAGGGAGGGAGGGAGAGAAGGCAGGCAGGCAGGCAGGCAGGCAGGAAGGAAGGAAGGAAGGAAGGAAGGAAGGAAGGAAGGAAAGAAGGGAGGGAGGGAGGAAATTGTGAATGTTTATTTCCTAAAACAAATTTTTTTTTGTCATCTTGCTCTTAAAATCATTTACTTATGATTTGTTTTATTGCAGAAAGGATTTAGGTGGTTAAAGCTATTTGTATTTTCATCCTATTCTACTTCTTAGAAATTAACAGATTCTAGAAGATTACTACCCCCTGTATCATGTTTTCTTAAATTTGTTTCCTTCGTGAACTTCATAAGTTATTCTCTAGTTCCATAATATCAGAATTTGGTCTGTTTCTTCCCATGCATGTCCTTTACAATTTGACACTCTGTGATTACATCCTTCTCTAGGTCTATGTCTTTTTGGAAAGAAGAGCTCAAGTTTTAAGAACTACAGCAATTTCCCCAATATACATTTTAAAAGGCATAGAAAAAAATATATACACACAGGTGCATATTATCTTTAAAACTGGGAACATTTTAAAACTCTAGACTTTGAAACCGTGTTTCAGGACATCACAATATCACATTTTAATTTCATAGTGTAAAATGTATTGAAACAGAATATTGATAATTGGGATATCTGTTCAAAAATATATTAAACATATACCTACTAGTAACAGAAAAATGTCATATTTTCCTTTCACATCACTGTTAATTCTTTAAGAAATAATACTTTATTTTCTTATTGATTGAAAAATGTTGGGCAGTTTCAGTTCCCCCCCTAAAAATGGGCAATTTCAGTTCCCCTCCACACACAAAAAAAGAAAAATGAAGCTGTGTTTACTACGGTGAAGCACAATCCTGCTTCATTTGTAAAACGAATTCATGTAAGTGCGCATTTACTCTGATCTTCAATGAATATTTTACAATGCATTTTTTTATGTTCCGTAGGAAACACTGCTATGCTCTTAAGGGAAAATAATGCACAAAACTAAGTGTAAATTTTCTCTTTGCATTTGATGCTAGGTCTGTAGGAAGATGTTAAAACGGTTTGTTACTTGGGTTAAATGACAAAGCTAAGAAACTATTAGGTCTACAGTTTCTTGCACCTGCATAAATGAACTTGTGTGAACAAGCTGAAAACCACATACACTAACTTTAAATAAATATGAACAAAGTGAAAGAAATATAATTTGATAGTCACTGCCATAGAATACATTATTATAATTCAATTAATATAAAACATATTAGGAAACAACAAAAAAAGTTAAGATGGTAGTCATTTAAAAATACTTCCTAGCTAAACCAAAACCAACAAGTGCACATACATGGTTTTATGTTTGGGAAGCGGTTTTTTGCTCTATTCCAAGGCAGATCAGCATCAGTTGAAGAAAGATCCTGAAGAAATTTTGGTAATTCCTGTAAAATAAAGTCATTGCAAAGTTTACATTTAACATAGGTAAACAAGAAATTTTACTAATTAAAAGAGTTATTTGCGCTAAACCTTAAAAAATTAAATTAAAAGCACCTATTGTAACTGTCGAAACAAGGCCAAGTTAACAGTAATGAGTTTACCTAAGCTTTCACCACAAATATCCTGAATAAAGTTGGTCAGTTGGGCTATTGGCCTTTCTGAGATAATTTCTTTGCACTTTGGGAAGGCTTAAGCTGTGGCAATCACGTTAGTGACCATTTTCCATATGTTATGAATGTTTCATTGGGTACACACTAATGTTTAATATTTTAATGTCTACTTAGTAGGAAGAGGGATTTCAATGATTTATTTTTTGTTTTTTCTCCTCAGGCAGTGTGATTTCGTGCCTATTAATTGGTACAACATTGGTCAGTTTGAGAAGATGCCAGAGGTCAATTCCTGTTCTCAGTAGGCATTGTTAAATCAATAATGGAATGCAAAGGTGTGATGAAGAATTATCAGATGCAGATGAAGTGTCAAGAAGATCTATTATTGGCATTTGATGAAAAATTATGATGTTATCCATCCACCTTGCTCTTGGCAAAGGAAGCATCATTAAAAAGTCTGATATAAGACAATACGTTCATTATTTTGTTGAGTTTAAAATTTACATTTATGAAATTTACAGTTTTCCATTTTAGAAATCTCAGCTTACCAAATTCCATAAAAAGCACTAACAATGTGTGTTTTAACAGTTTTTCAACATCAACATAAATTATTTCTTTTAATTGGGTAAGTTTCCTTTCCTTATTTTTCCTCAAAAATAAAATCTGGACAGTTGTTTACATGTGGGTATGTATGAAGGGACAGGAATGGTATAAGATCTGAATTCTGATGTGTTGGCATCAAAGGCTTAAAAAACAATTTTTTAACCCAATGAGGAGTCCTAGAACAGCTTCCTTGTGTCAAAGTTTTGGAAATACATAAAGAATGGAGAAAAAAGGTGAGTTTAAATGAACTGAAAGAGCACTTATACTTTATAATTATTTCACATAAAAGTTTCCATTTTTAGACCTAAGCAGCTCTGGCTTTCGTAAGCAATGCTGAAACACCAGGTTGGTTGGGTGGTAATGGTATACTGAGCAGTCTTATGCTTATCAGGGTGCACAAGGCCACAGGTCTCCCTATTTAGCTCTTTCTCCTGCTGTTTCCTCTCTTTTTAGTGGGACCACAGATGACTTAGGCTGCTTTTGCATTCTTATGCTTTTCTTCCCCCTGGAGCACATTTTTCCTTTATCTTCTCATTGGATTTCTGCTCATCCTAAAGTTCATCTCAAAAGTCACCTTTTTTATGAAGTCTTTTCCGGCTGATATACAAGCAGATTTTATCCTCAATCTTTATGCCTATCTTCATCATGATACAGTATATATGCAATTTTTATCCACATCTGCAGTTCTTACCATAATACGAACTTCGTTATGGTAGAAATTTATCATCATAATAGCAAATACTTGTGCCAGCTACTGTTCTTAGTATGGCTTATATTCAATCATTTTATAGTCATAATTTAATAATGTAGATATTATCATTTTACAAACGAAGATATTGAGGCACAGTGAGTTTAAGTAATTTGCCCAAAGTCGCTTAGCTGTTAAGTGTTGAATTAATGTATATCAATGTGCCAGATACAATACCTATCATACAGTAGGAACTTATACATATTTAAGGTGTCAGTGAATATGTCCTAAGTTAAAAGTTTTATCACATATATGCATCAAAAATGTGTTTATTAGAACATAGTAATTTAATAATTTTCATTTAAAAATTCTCAAAGCATTAGAAAAAATACAATTTTTTAAAAGTTCTTAAAACTATGGTCTTCAAAAAAGTTAAACTAGAAACTTTCTCATGTAGTATATGTGAAACTGTTATTGCTAATAAAACTTTTTATCTACTCGGTCATGCATAATATAATTATATTCGCTCTTATTCTAGTGAAATTACACTTTTGCTCCTGAAAAATTGAGAGTTCTTTCTGTCTAAATGCCAGGAAGAATTTTATGGCACCATTGATTTTGTTAAGTCCAGACCAATATTACTTAAGAAGCATAACCAAAAGTCTGCAGGAAATGCAATTAATCTTTTCTCGTTTTTGTTATTATTCCCTAAGAGACCGAAATATTATAATTCTGAATTATTTAAACTGATCGTTTATTCTTTGTTTCAGAAGTTCACACACTGGGAAGTTCATGGAAAAAAATAAAATAGAAATAATGTTTTTGGTGGCATTTAGAAATCTGTCTTTTTTAATAACAAAATCATCTAAGTTAGAAAAGACGCTTATAAGTCTTAAAGTAGCTTGCAGATTTTATATCTACCTTATGTTTTTAAACAATTTCAATTATACAGATATACAGAATGTTAAAAACAATAAAACTATTCCCACCTTTTAAGTAGATTTAAAGTGACAAATTCTTAATTTTATATATTTTCATTATATGATACAGCATTTATTCCATAGTAATATTTAAAAGGTCCCTATAAAACATGGACATTACTTATCTGTTTTTTTTTTCTTAATTTTTGGACAGTTCTAGAAATAATTTTTATTTATAGTTTCTGGAAGCATCAAATTCTGGTCTCACATTGATCTATATCACACATGTAAACCAAGTAGGTAAATATAAAATGAAATAATTTAGTATCTAAATGTAAAATAAACACTTAAGTATAAAACTACATGTATAGTCTGACCTAAACTTTGATTACAAACAAAAACTAATGAATACATCATTCTATATTTGCATCTACATCTGGATGAAAGAGCAAAGAAGAGACAAGGTCATGCTGCCAATACAGGGAAGGTCTGAAGAAGAGCACCTTTCCTGACACAGTAGGTGAATAATTCTGATCAGGTTGCACCAGAGGCTGCCCAGTGTAACATTACTATCAAAACAATCAACCTGGTAATTGGGTATTGATTATCAAGGCTAGAGTCCTTCATGGCCTTGCATGCTTAAAATGGACATGAAATGTGACACATGAAACGACTGGAGGTCTTGCAATGTTGTGACAACTGCTAGTAACATACCGAAAATTCTTCTTGAAACTTTAGGTTGTTGTTTGTGCAGAGCTCTTCAACATGTTGCAGGAAGGATTTCTTGCTTATTGGCCTCCAAATAAAGAAAGGTGTAAAATGGGGTCATGTTAGATTGCATTTGTTCGCTTTAACATTGGCACTGGCTTCACTGTTAACAAGTTAAAGAACAATGGATCTCTCAAAAACCACAAATAACACAGCCCTTTAAAGTCACTCTGTTATATTTATAAAGTTAACCTTTCCTCTTTAAGCTCACTTTCTTTGTATTCATGGTACAAAATTCCTTCAATATTTTCGTGACATTCAATGAAGGATTTAGCACTTTAATGAAGAAAGTTTTTCAACTAAATGTAAGAGCATAAAGTTATCACTGAATCCTAAAGCACATAATACCTCTTTGTCAGACAGAAAACATTTTATACATTACAAGGTTTTAGAAGATATAAAATATTGCAGTGACCTCATTCTCATAATGACATGGTTTTTAAACCCCAAGGAGTTTAAATATCCCCGTATTACTTCCCAAGCTAAAATACAGACATGCAGGCTTCACCCCAGAGAGAGAGAAAGCATTTCTCCAGTTACCGTGCAATTAGTCATGCTTTTATGATTTATATCCAGCTTGGAGATTTTTCCAACAAACATACAAAAAGTGAATCACACATTAAGGTTCTACTGAGTTAGTACATCTAACTTTAATATTCAAAAAGAAGAAAAAATATTAACAAACTTACTTGATGGATTTCCTATAACTAAGTAACCTGCAATAGAGATTGTGTTAAATGCATTGTGAGTCAGAGTGGACGGCTAATTCTGAAAGAACTGCAGATTAAAATCAGAAAATTATAATAAATAAATAATTTAAAATGTGCTATGCCTTTAATATATGATCATTATTTTAAATTTCACTTAATTTTTTTGAAATTATACTATTTGGACTCAAACATGGCAAATAATTTTGCTTCTTCCTCCAGCCAAAAAGGTATTATTGTTATTATAAATGTCATTATAAATGCCTGAAAATGTTAGGCACTTAGGATACTACATTAAAAATAGGTCACTTTTTAATATATTGCATGGTATTTAGTGTTCTAAAAGAGTTAATGCAGATTTTAAAAACATTTCCTCTATCTATAGAAAATGCTGAACCAGACAGAATGAATCAATGAAAAATGACATCACATTGCCTTAGTATTGTTTAATGGGTGAGTTTGGATAAATACACAAAAACAACAAATTGTAACTCTTTCCATATTTTAGACCTGTTTTTTGTGACAAATCGTTGGCCAAATTATTTATACTTTGAAAAAACAAAGATCTTTTTTAACAACTAAATAGATTACACAACACACACAAACTTAGAGATGCATGTGTCATTAATAACACATCATGCACAACAAATTGGCACTGCAAAAATCACAAAAGGCACAAAATATAATGAAAGGAAATAAAGAACATATGACTTTTTCAGAGTTTTAAATTTAAATTAATATTAGTGATTTTACTATATTCTTTAATTGAATAATTTTTATAAGAAGTTATGTTTTTTGAAGAATGAATAAAAGAAAATAATTGGATTGGAAAACATAGCATAATACATATAAAAATGGTCAAAAAGAGGTGTATTTGATGAAGGAAACATGAGTTAAAAGGAAGTATATTTCATTACAATACCAGAATTGTTGAAATATATGGGAGTGCTGAAGCAGGTATAACAAAGCAGAATGATAGAATTCTCAATTAATGATGAGTGTCCCCAAGCAGAAGGAGATATTGTATCTTCTAGCTTCTCGGGGTAAACATAAGGTGGTAGACTAACCCATTACCAAACAGGGCATCTAAGTGACAAAGTAGCAGTGGGTAACAAAGAGTCTTGGTGAATAAGCTTAAGAGTGCCTCACAATATCCTAGAGTGATTTAAAGAAAGCAAGAAAGAATTCCTGACTCTAGATGGATATGGAGATGGCTGAAAGGGATACCAAATGAGAAGAATCCTTGATTTGGGGAAGGGAAAATAGAATGTCTGAATATTGGAGGCTCTGGAAATATCTCTGACATAGTAACATATGCAGTGGGGACTGAAGCAACAATCAATCTTTGTTGAAAATAATTACCCCTCAGCAGAGACCAGCAAGAAAGAAAGACAGCTATGGGCTACAACCATACATACTATCTAGCTCACTTAAGATAACTTGTTGCCCAATGCTCCAATGCTATCTTTTTCTTCAGAGATAGGAAAGAATAGAGGGTTGTTTTGGGCAAATTCTGATTAATTGAACTTAAGATATAAATGACTGAGATGCTTTGATTAGCAAGATCTATTTTCCTGCTACCACATGGACATAGAAACTCTTCAGCTGTGTGGAGATAACTTTCATAACAACAGAAAATAATATTCCACTGTAATTTGTAAAATTTAAGCACACTATATCTGATTTAGTGACAGGCTAGTGGTCCATCTATATAAGGACAATGAGACTGCCATCCTATAGTGGAGAGATTCCTTTTTCCTAGAGGATTAATTAAGCTGGTACTAAAAAAAAGTATTTCTACTGGGTTAACTAGAATCTAAAATAGATGTTAGTTATTTTCATTCTTCAGTTCAGAGTTATGATTAATTGAATAAATTTATATTTTTTGTTTTAAGTCCATGTCTTTTTAGTGAAAAACTCTATCAAAAGTTGCTTTTGTTTCACTATTCGTAATTCGTTTTGCATTTAAAATCTCTCACTAACCATATATATATATTTGCAGAAACACATCATTGCAAATTTATTAAGTGCTGTGAAACTCACATTTTTAAAAGTTCGTACAGACACCATTGGTGCCTGACCCACATCGCCTAAGTACTCAACATTCCCATGCAAGGAGATGGTTTACTACTACAAGCACCTGCCACTCTCCCCAGAGTGTCTCCTGCATGCAGGCTGGAAGCATTGGAGAGTCCCCAGAAACAGCCGTCAATCAATGACTAACCAGAGTTGGTGAATAAACACCTCAGCTCCCTCGCCCCTCAAGAGGGATAATAATGATATGTGTTTTGTGATGTTCACCTAAAGATAGTTTTAAACCATAACTGGCTATATTGGGTTTGGGTGGATATTTGTGAATTCTTGCCTTATTTTAAATCTGATGCCAGTATTGGTTTCAAATACCTGCTCAAACAATTACTAGTTATGTTATCATGTACAACACTTAATTTTTCTGTGCATCAGTGTCCCAGTTTGGAAAATATAGTTTGGTAAATTAAATTCATATATGTAAAAAGATTTCAAGGTCTCTGGCTTTAGTAAGCCATACATAAGTATTGGTTACTATCATTAGTATGATAATTACTATTTCTAGTTTATTTTGTTTAACTCAAGCTGCTCCTATCCATACTGTTCTACAATTGATACTGATATAAGGAAGGGACTTTTTCCATTATTTCCACAAGAACATTCTCTTTATTGTACTCAAAGATGGATAAACTATATTGTGCTAAAATATAGTGGTCATGAATATCTAGATTTTCAATCCAAGTCTGGATTTCTAGTTCTCAATTCAAGATTCCAAACGAATATCTAATACAATGACCATAATAATTCAGTTTTCATATAATTATGTAAAAAATTTCTAACCATGCCTACATTTCTGACATTATTCTTTGTAACTCCCCTTCATACATCCTATGTGCACTCCAGATATTCTCTAGGTATCCCTCCCCCTCAATTTTATACCATTCCAGACATTCTTTCTACAACGGAAATTTTACTTATTCTGTAATACCTGATTCAAATGTTAACTATCCTACTGATCTTACTCTGTTCTTCTAAAAAAAATTACCTTTCTCTGTAAAATCAAATTTCCAAGAACAAATAATCTTCTATGTTATGCTATGACTATATAAGTCCCTGCATTAAGGATACAAGCATTTGGGTTCATATATACTTGAGGGTTGGGGCAGGATTAACACTTGGCTTACTAGATGTCCCTCATAACATTATTCATAGTAAACATTAAATAAATCATGTTAAATATAAAATTGTGGGTGAATGCAGATTAAGATAGACAGAAAGCAAAAGATGAATATTCTGGTTTTATTGTCAGAGAATATCTGAATTGAATACATTTTCCCACTAAATTATTAAGAAACAGAATTCTCAAGAGATCCTAACTCGAAGCTTTAAATATATATAATCAATAGATTCATTAAAAAAAAGCATATGAGTCTAAGCAAAAGCCATATTAGATCATCTAACATTGTAAATTAACAGGTGCACTTTGTTAGGAAGTTAGATAAATGAACAATAAAATTTCTCTTTTCTACTCAAGTAATTGATAAATAGGCACACACTTTAAGAAAAAGAGGTGGAATCTGTTTTGGTTTTATTTTCTTCTGTAACACTCTTTTTTATCTAAACCTAATCATGTTGTGGAATCTGTTCTTCACATTTATGTTTAAATAACATAAGAAATAAGGCTTCTAGTAGTCCAGTTTTTATGTAATTTCTAGTCTGTACTTATGTCACAATCACTTGTGAGTTCAAATCTTGAAATACCTAATCAGGAATGCTCAAATAGAGAAGACATTTTGAGATAAATTACCTATTTCAAATAAAAATTAGATATTTCCTTCTTCATTTTCGTCAGTAGTATACTTATCATTGCTTTGGTTCTTAGCCTCATGTTGTATAGGTGTATTTATCCCTTAGGTATTGGCTGCATTCTAAATTGTATTTTTCTTTGAGGTTTTAAACTTTAATGTTTATATAGAACAAAATATGAATTTGAATAATTTATACAGAGAATTAGAAAAGAAAATGGGACATATTATAAGGAAAATGCACTAACTTATCACTGATGAGGTATAATTAAATTCCTAATGAGAAAAACTGTTTGGTTAAATTAGCATCAAAACCTCACAGAAATTGATGTGCATGAAAATCAGTAACGTATTTCAGTAGTGCTAGTTTCAAATGAAGTGATCCACGGAGCTACTCAAACAAACTCAAATAAAAAATCTTCTATTAACATTTTTAAAACTTTTTAAAAAACTGTTAAATGGAAAACATTTTTAGACTGGTAAGATATTCTCATTCACTTATGAGAGTGAAGGTTACTGTCAGACTATATTCAGTTCATTACTGGATAAATCAATTTGGGAACTGTCCAGATTTCAATAAGATAACTGACTAATTTCCAACAGAAAGGGTTAAACACTTTTTATTACATGAATCTTAACTGTCTTAAATCCTACATATTTTGGTTGAAAAGAGTCTTATTTCACGTCTGGACTCATTTCTTTAAAGCCTATCAAAAACTTAAATTCCACTCAGATTACTCTTGATGGATCTAGAAAGGAAGCATTTATTTATGTTGGCAGTGGTGATTGAAGACCATATTGTCACAGAGACTCAGCTTTCCCTCAAGGTCAATTAGTTGAAATCTACAGGGAATTAAAATACAGTCCTAATAGAGAGCCACAAATGATAGCCTATAGTTGAGCAGCTTCAACCAGCACTGCCAGTGCATGGCACAAACTGAGACCCTTTTTTTTTTCTACTTAACCAGTGATGTTAGGTTAAAAATTTAAAAATCTCAAATTTGTTGATTAATGTAAAAATATGTATTTGTATCCCATAGCATATACTTGCTACTTAGATTAAATTTGTGAATAATCTAGCTCCCTGGTAGATTAAATTTTTGAAGAATCTAGCTCTCTGGTAAAATATAAATATTTCCAAGTTTTGCATGATATTGTGAGTTTTTAGTTTATGTATTTTATCAAGTCACTGATGAATGATAAATTACTTCTACATCTACAATTATGTATCGCTTATCCAAAGCATCTACTTTAATGCTTTTAAAGATGCCTTAGTTTTTGTTATTTCCTATTATTTTTCTTTGTTTGGGGTTTGAAAGTAATCTTCTTTCAAATCCTTCTTTACTCTTTTGCCAAATCATTGATGTTTATGTGGTGCCCAATATAAATTCAATACAAATTTAAAATATCCTAATCCATGGTTGGTACTATACAGCTGATTCTAAAAATTTATAGCTTTATAAGAGAAACATGCCATTTGAACAAGTGAGTAATGGATTTTTTTTTTTTTTTTTGAGACGGAGTCTTGCTTTTGTTGCCCAGGCTGGAGTGCAATGGTACAATATCGGCTCACTGCAAAATCTCTGCCTCCCAGGTTAAGGTGATTTTCCCGCCTCAGCCTCCCGAGTAGCTGGGATTACAGGCACCTGCCACTATGTCCGGCTAATTTTTGTATTTTCAGTAGAGACGGGGTTTCTCCATGTTGGCCTGGCTGATCTCAAACTCCTGACTTCAGGGGACCCACCCACCTCGGCCCCCTGAAGTGCTGGGATTACAGGCATGAGATATCACACCTGGCCATATAATACTTTATAAATCAGGAAAACAATAGTAGATGATATGTATTACTTTCTCAACAAGTCTCCTCATATGTGTAGGACAATTCTGTTTAAAAGGAGCATTAAATTTGAAAGATAGCTCTTTGGAAGCAATGTCTCTTCCTTTCTGATTACACTATTCCCAGTGTCTAAAACAGTGCCTAGCACTTGAGTGATACCCAATTGTTATTTATTTTTATTTAATCAAGATGAAATAACCAAATAACCTTTTAGATGAGAAGTGAATGCAACATTCTTCCCAATGTCAAAGAGCTGAGAGGTATGATCCCCAGTGTGGTAAAAGTTGAGTTTTTCTTATTGCTAAGCTTTTCCACATTAGCACATTTGAAGAGAAGTTCTTGCCAGAAGTCTTCTTTTGTCAACCATATATTCTAAATGAAAACCATGGAATTGTTTAGCTACATCAGGGCAACGGGGTAGAAGTTGTAAATAGAGAGGAGAAAGAGACTGATCAAAGCTGTGTGAAGAGATGAATGGGGTTCTCAGCAAGGATTCAATGAATAGGAGACAGAAGATACTACACCAGCTGAAAAGAAGGCATTACTGCCTATTATTCAGGATGGCAGGTAGGTAATAACATTTCTCTGTTAGATGTTAGAAGCAACCTCAGAAAACTAGAGTTGGAACAAGACAGATATACTTTAAATGGTATGATGTATGTAGAGGTGTTTTATAAAGGTTCTGACTAAAACAAATGATTAAGTTTAGCTCTGTCAGGATAAGGGCTCTGACTGAGCAGGGTACAATTCACTGATTACAGGAAAGAAAATTGGTGTTAGGGTGAGGGTTCTGCAAAAATGAAGGCATTTTTTTCTCTGAGATATTAATGGCATAAAGCAAGACAGTGAAAGAAAGCAGGAAAGGAAGGAAGGAAAGAAGGAAGGAGGAAGGAAGGAAAGGAGAGAGGGGAGGGAAGCAAAGAGGAAGGCAGGGAGGAAGGAGAAAGAGAGAGAGAAGAAGAAGAAATAGGTAAAGGATATTTTATGAAGATGAAGAGAGACATTTAGCAGAGTTGCTCAACCAAATTGCCTCTAAGTCTGGAATGGCCAGGGTTTAACTCTGAGTGCTGGTTGAAATGGATATTCTATGTGTAATGTGATCAATTAAATCTTTAGTTTAACAGTGTCTTACTTAGACAAATGTTTGAATCCCATCAAGCAGGTCCTCTGAAGGAAATGTACTTTCATAAAAGTATCTTAATTCTGTCAATGGGAACTTGATGACTAGTTAATCTGAAGTTAAAACAAGGTTACTTATGATTCCCAAATGCTAAATGTGATTAGAGTAGAAATAATCACTTCCTCTATTTTAATAATGCTGAGTACTATTCATGTTTGACTAGAATATCAGGAGCCTTGGCCCCATTCAGCCCTATAGCTCATGAAGACAGACTCTTCTTTAGTAAAGTGTATGATTTTGAAATCAAATGCCTTTTTAATTCTCTGCCTCCATTAATATTCCTTCATTCACATTCTTTGCCTGAAGAGATTTATTATGTTTGGGGCACTCAATCAGTTACTGGGGTCCCTGCTAGTGCTGATATTCTGCTATGGTACTCTCAGAATGTATCCAAAAATGTTTGTGCCACGATACAGATGGCATTTCTGAGTATCAAGGGAGTGCCTGGCAGCATGCACAGTTGGCTCCCGACTAGACAGTGCAGAAATAAAGTTTCCATGAAATATGCCATTCTGTGTATGCACCAGAGAGTCAGAGAACAAGAAATGTCATTGTTTTGGTCCTTGCAGGTTAACCACCTACAGTTGCAGAAATGAGCTTGTATGAAATGTAAATATAGTCTCCACCCTCCAGATGCAGAACTCAGCTATTGTGTCATGTTAATAACAGAACAAGAAGCCTGTACAGGAATCTAGGTGAAAACTTAATTTGCTATCAATCCTAACACAACATGAGAACACAGCAAATTCTCAGGATATGCACATTATGAGTCAATGTGCATTTTGATAAGATTAACTTTACCATTATCAACAGCATGCAATATTATAAAGGACACATTGTTAGTAGAAAGTATAGCTTTTTGGGGTAGCTTTAGAAAAATAGCACATTAAACAAGAAGATGTTCAATACTGTGTATTTTAAAATATAGAGCACACCACCTGACAAGATTAAAATAATCACAGCAGAGTTCTGCATTATCACAGTAACTTACTGGATGACAAAAATCTCCTTGCGTCTAAAGAAAAATGAAGAATATCTGGAAGTAAAGATTCATTATTTGTTTAGTATACAAACACACTGAATTAGTTTTGATTTTTTATCACAAGAACATGAGCATTAAGTATCTCCAACTTCATTTTACGTATAGAACATGTATTCTGGATTCACAAATTTTTGCCATTGTTTGCAAAGATAGCTTAAGTTTAGAAAAGAAGTAAAATTAATGACCAGGATTTATCAAAACTTAAACACTTAAAAAGTAAACTATTAGAATTGCATATATCAGTCAAAAATTATGAATTCTTATTAAAGCCAAAATAAAAATTGTACTACGAAAAGTTTTCCAGTTTCTGCAAGTTTGAGTCAACATTAAAATGCTATCACTTCTTTACTTCATATTATGAGACAACAAAGAAATTCAACGAATTACCTCTTTCCTTAGACTCATTTTCAACATAGAAAATGCTGCTGAGAAAAAATTCTGTGGGTCTTTTTCTATTTAGGAAAGTTTACATTGATCTTCTCTAGTATGCGTTACACACACACACACACACACACACACACACACACATCTTGATACCTCAGAGAAAGACCTGGGCTAGCTTGTAGCTCTCCTAATTAGGTGTATGACCTTAGATACTTAAGACTGTCCTACCATCATTTTTTAAAAATCCATCTGTAAAATGAGGATAGGAGTACCTACCGCTAAGGGTCGAAAGAGTTACGTGAAATCACTACATGCAGAGTTTAACATATAGTAGTTGCTCATAAACACTAGCCATTATTTTGTTAGCAAACTCTATATTTTAAAGTAGACTGAGATAGTATTCAATTTTACAAATATGAATCACAATAATAACAATACCAAAAGTATCCTGCTTTACAGTTTACAAAGTACATATGTAGAATTTTCTTTTAAGCAGTAAGTTTTCTGAAGACATAACCAAATATTGAATAACAATTTAACATGTATACTTCTAAAGTTATTGAAGAAGGAAAATTATTGAAGAAAGTTTCTCTT